TAAATGTAGAAACTGAGTCACGGGGCCGACAAGGGGTTCTGCAGAGGCTGAATCAGGCCTGGCACCCGAAGGCTGCGGGGCCTACGCGTGAGGGCTACGCGGCAAGCCAGGAGTGGGACCCCTCTGAGCCCCGGTAGGCTGAGGAAGAGTCAGTCAGGGCTCTTGAAACTGCCATGATCACTTTGGCATTGTTGGCCACGGAGAGAGGCCATAAAGGCAGGAAAGCCAGGCCAGTCCTGCCCTAACGCGGCAAGTTTAGTTCTGCCAGGACGTGAGACTTTTGCGACAATGGTTTGACGAATCCTTAGGCAACAAGATTGCTGGCGCCATGACAAGGAGGGCCCAAATTGAGACCCCCAGAAGGCTGTGAGCAGCTACTGGCCTTCTCCCTTGGTTACTGGCCTCCCAAATGACCGAAAGGGTCCTCAGGCCTTTTGGGGTTGACCCTCTAAGTATCAGCAAGGGACTGTCCCCTAGGGATACCTCTGTCTGGAAAAGGGAAAAAGCGACAGTAGAAGGCCTATCCCTCACAGAGGGGTGCTGACAGTTTGAGGTGAGCCCTCTGGCAAGGGAAATGGACAATATTGCTTCTCATTCTATTCCAATCAGATATTTAAATGAGAAATTATCTGCACACTTAAAGCAATCATTCCAAAAGTGTCTAAGATATATATTCTCCAGTAGGAATGTTGCACTATGGTGTATATAGTATAAGCTAGTTCTTTTTTCTTTTCCTTTTTTTAAAAATTGATTTGAAAGAAAGACAGAGACATCAACCTGTTGATCCATTTAATAATGCATTCATTGGTTGATTCTTGTATGTGCTCTGACCAGGAATCAAACCTTCATCCTTGAGGAATCAAACCCGCCACCTTGGTGTATTGGGTTGACATTCTTAGCTAACTAACTAACCTACCGGCCAAGACAAAGCTAGTTCTTTTAAAACAAAACAAGTTGTACATTAATTGTGGTAAAAATCATCATCATCATCTGCAAGAATATACCTAAACTGTTAGCAGAGCTTGTCATCAGAGGAGGACTTTCAATATTAAATGCTGCAGTCCCCAACTTTTTGGTGCCAGGGACTGGTTTCATGGAAGACCGTTCTTCCCAGGATTGGGGTGGGGGGGATGGTTTCAGGATGATTCAAGCACATTACATTCACACTCACCTCCTGCTGTGTGACTGGTTCCTAACAGTGCCTGGACCAGCACTGGTCTGTGGCCTGGGGGTAGGAGACCTATGTTAAATGTAAACATTTATGGAAAAGTTGGGTTTTTTACAAGGAGCATGAATTACTTTTCCAACTAGAAAAAATTACAGGCAACATGTTTTTTTCTGGTCATTCCTTTCTCCCTCCACTCCCCATGTTGTCTCTCTTCTTCTCCTCTGCTCTCTATCCTGTCCCCTTTAGTCCACATGACACGTCCTTTGCTGCTAGCTTCTTACGGAGAATATCCCTGCCTCCATCCACTACCTTTGGGTAGTGGGGTGGGAGGCCAGAAAATGATGCCAGCACATTGCTGGAAGTATCTGAATTGGCACAAACAACGCTTTGAAAACGCAGCTTGGTGATACAAATCAAGAATCATAAAATGTCCCTGCCCTTTGACCCAATACTTCCACTCCAGGAAATTATTCAAAATATGGGGAGAGCCATATGCCCGAAGATTTTTCAATGCATCATTATTTATTATAGCAGAAACTAAAGAAAAACTACTTAAATATCCAAAAATAGATGAACCTTTAAGTAAATTATGATCAATCCACATGATAGAGAAATATACAAACACAGACACACACACAAAGAAAACAAATATCCAATAATAGGTGGTTAGTTATGTAAATTTGATATAAACATCAAATTAAATCATGCAATCATTAGAAACAATTATTTGTCTATAATGTACAGCTAAGTGAAAAAGATTATAAAATAACCTGATATAACACTTTAAATTTAAAAAAGTCTGTGTTCCTTTGCTTAGAAAAAAACTCTGGAAGGACACATAAACATAGTCAGTGATTATGTCTAAGTAGAAGGACTATATGAAATTAGATTTGTACTTTCCTTTTTATACCAGTTCAGAGTGTCTGGGATTTTTTAAAAGAGAATAAAAACCACTGCAATTCAGGAAAAAAAAGTTAAAAATCCATTATGAAAACAACATACTAATAATACCTATGATTGCACAGTCAGACAAAAATGCAAAATATGCCTATCACATCCATTATGATTAAAACAACAAAAATAAAATACATGAGGAAAAATGGGGGTTCACCATATTGCTGATGATAAATGTGTTGCGGTATTGAGATTATGGGGGATTCTTTTCTCTATTTTCCAAGGTTTACGAAGTGTACTTCTTAATAATAAAAAGTTCCTTTTAAAAAAGCCTAATTAGTGGTCTTCTGGTAGTTAAGGGGCAGATGGCATAACAGAATCACCCCACGGGGGGGGGGGAACGTATTCAAGATGCCCATTCCGAGCTCTCCTCGCACGGGCACCGAAGCCCCAGGCTTTAATAACTCCTTTGGTGAGCTCCTACCCCAGGCAGCGAGGCGCTCCTTCCGCTGTCCTTCCACAACCCCTTACCTGACTGTAGTTTATGTTTTCACCTCCACCTCCGGGCTTATTAACAGAAACCATCATCAATCTCCAGGTGACCATGAGCTAGGCAGTGTGCTAAATGCTTTCACATCTATTCTAATTACAAACTTCATTACTTTGTGCGGTAGATACAATTTCACAGGTGGGCAAACTGGAGCACTGACAATGTAGGTAATCTACTCACGGTGACACAGCAAGTGGCGGAGCCGGAGACTGAAGACAGGCGGTCTAATCCCGGAGCTTCCTTGCTGTTAAGCATTTGACGTTCCACCTCCCATGAACATGACAGGTCCCTGAGAGTCGCTTCACCTTTGAAGGCCCAGGGGAACCAACACCGTGCTGGTTCATGGAAGGTTCCTCACAAAAGTAGGTAGAAGTAAAGCTCTTACTTGGTGACAGGGCAGGGTACCCTGGAGTTCAGAAGAGGAGGAATCCTGCTAGACACAGATCCAACCTTGACTCTCTCAAAACAAGAATCCCCACAAAAGCTGGCCCAGGGATCCCAGCCACCTTCCCGGGAACATGTCTTGTTCCCATTCTTTGCTTATCTTTACCAACATGGCCTGCCTCTTCCCCTCCCAGTGGGACGCTCTCAGGCAGTAAAGCGCCCACTCAGCTGGTTCCTCTCTAACATCTGCAGCAACCATTCTCTTTCTTCTCCTAAAATCCCCTCAGGTAGAGGCTGCAGATGGCATGCCCACAGAGGAACCAGCTCGTGAGAGGTGATGACAAAGCGTCACCTCCACCTTGAAGAGTCGCACATGATTTGCACATGATGCACACGTGGTGGCTTCCATTTATAGACCTTTCCCAAATTAATCTTTCCTTATTGTTCCCCTTCAGGCAATCACTTCTCATTTCCCTATGGTCTGTCCTTTCTCACTTCTCATTCCAGTCTAGGGAGCATGCTAATTTATTATGCTAAATGATGATGTTGCTTTATAAAGTTGCTGATTCCAGAAGGGTGAAAAACCTCCCCAGACATGGGCTCTAAGCCCAGCTTGCTCAGATTTGAGCCTTACTCCACCACTTACCAACAGGATGACCCCAGGCACATTCTCCCTGGACCTCAGCGTTCTCAACTGTGAAATGGGGAATAACAGTGCCTACCTTGTAGGTTCTGATGAGGACTGAAAGAAATAGCAGCCAGCACCTGCTATGTGGAAGCTCTATGCATGTTGGCGTCTTACTATTTTTACTTTAGACTTTTCACTTGCCATTTTATTTGGGGTAGAGCCATAGTCTACCATGATATTGTGCTGTATAATAAGAAATATGCATTTGGTCTTTGTCCTCTTACTGGCACAGAGCTCCTAAAACCCTCGGGATTTCCTTAGTGATAGGAGTGATAAAAGTCTTTCATTACTCATAACTATCAGCCACACCTTAGTTTATCAAAATGAGGGAGCTTTTGAGAATCCCTAAGGATGAAGGATGGTTTCCAGGAGGACCAACTATATGGTTAGAGGATTGGAACTTTCAGTCCTACCTCCAAACCTCCAACCTCCTGGGAGGAGAAAAGGGCCAGAGATTAAGTTCAATTACTAGTGGCCAGTGATTTAATCAACCAGTCATGCCTATGGAATGAAACCTCTATAAAAACCCAAAAGGACAGGGTTCAGAGGCCTAACAGGTTGGTGAACATGTTAAGCTGCTGGGAGGAGGACGTGCCTGGAGAAGATGTGAAGCTCAGCATCCCTTCCCATGACCTTGTCCTATGCATCTCTCCCATTTGACTGTTCCTGAGTTACAATCTTTTATAATAAAATGGTAATCTAGTAAGTGTTTTCCTGAGTTCTGTGATCCACTCGAGCAAATTAATTGAACCCAAGCTGGGGGTTTTGGGTACCTCCACCCTATAGCCAGTCAGTAAAAGCCCAGGTAACAACCAGGACTCGTGATTGGTGGCTGTAGCGGGGGCAGTCTTGTGAGACTGAGCCCTTAATCTGTGGGCTGTGATGCTATGTCTAGGCAGAGAGTGTCAAGATTGAGTTAAATTGTAGGACACCAAGCTGATGTTACAGAATCGTTTGATGTGTGGAAAACCCACACGTCTAGTATCAGAAGGGTAGTGTTGTATAAGTTCTCACTTAACATTATTGATAAGTTCTTGGAAAGTGCAACTTTAAGGAAAACAATGTATAATAAAACCAACTTTACCATATGCTAATTAATGTAAACAAGAGATAAGTTCCCATAGGATATTTCTAGTCACAAAAACATCACCAAATAAAGACAGCATACACTTCTAATATTAAGCATGAAATAAATGTGAGCTATACATACATTTTTAAAAACTGTTTTATTCTCACCTAAGGACTTTTTTTCATTGCTTTTATTTTTTCATTTTAAAAAAATTTTTAAATTTAATCTTTATTGGTTTTTTTCCCCCCAAAATATAGAATGCTTCATGAATGTGTGTGTTGTCCTTGCTCAGGGGCCATGCTAATCTCCGTATCATTCCAATTTTAGTATGTGTGCTGCTGAAGCAAGTACTTCATTGCTTTTAGAGAGAGAGGAAGGAGGGGAGAGAGAGAGAGACATCGATTGTTTGCTTTCCACACAAGCTCCAACCAGGGATTGAACCTGCAGCCTAGGTATATGCCCTGACTGGAAATTGAACCCACAACTTTTCAGTGTATGAGACAATGCTCCAACCAACTGAGCCACGCCAGCCGAGGCAAGCTATACATACCTTTAAGAAAGATTAATAAAAATAAGTAAGATTATTTTCCAACCCACTTATTCCAGTTCAGGGCCATGGGTAGCCAGACCCTCTCCTGGCAGCTCAGGGTACAAGGGGGACCCAACCCTGAACAGACAAGCCACGCCTTCCATCACACTCACACACCACACACACACAAGCACGCACTCAGACTGGGACAATTTAAATTCTCCAATTCACCTCACATGCACATCTTTGGGATGTGGGAAGAAACCAGAGTACCCAGGGAAAAGCCATGCAGACATAGGAGAACATGCAAACCACATGTGGCCCCAGCCAAGAATGATATTTTTTTTTCTCTTATCAATGTTATAACAAAACAGCATTGAACAAAATGACAACTTGAGGACCTGCTGTAGTAAAGCACTGAAAGTAGATGAGATGCAGAGGAAGAGTATGTTTTCCTTTACATCTCAGTCTGACACAGCTTAGAAGAATTGGGTAGTCAAGAAAGTGATCAGGGTAAGTATTTTTGATTCAGTGAAGGAAATCTCCAGCTATCTCACCCTTCATTCTTGCCATACAATTCATAGATTGTTCCAGCATATAGGTTGCAAAAGGAGTGTTTTTAAAAGGCAGAATGGGTGAGAGTCTGCCCCAAAAACACTGTGAAAAGAATGGTTGCTTGAGCAAAGAGAGAGATTTTCTGTGTATGCTTGGTGGGAGGGGTGCTAAAATAAACTAATTAAGAGAATAAATAATCCACAATCTATGAGGGGATATGCTTCCCCCAGACCTCTGAGAGTTAAGTGTGTCCTTAGCTCCTTGGCCCATGTACAAGAAGGACATAGGCCCGCTAATACTCTGGCAAAAGATGGGAAGAAAGAGTAGCTGAATCCCTGAATACAGTCCACCTCAGAAGAGGGAGAAAAGAAGACAGATACTCTCCCAGTAAAGTCAGCTGAATCCTGGGTCAAGGGGCAAAGGCTACTTGGTTCCCCCATCCACAAAAAGCAGGGACTGGAAGGAATCACCATGTCCTGGTAGAAGGGCTCATGGTATGGTGGGAAAACATGGCTCCCTGCCCACTTCTTGCTTCCACGGAGGGAAGAAGATGCAGCTGCCCAGGCATCCTGGGGTGGTTAGGGTTCCAGCTATTCAGAACTCCTGCCTAGTCTACCTAGAAGGGGAGGGGCCAGGGCTTTAACAGAGGGTGGGAATAGTGAGGCCTGGCTCCCTACTCCAAGGAGAGAGGAAGGTGTAGTTTGTGGGGGCAGAAAGTGACTGGCTGCTGGGCCAAGGAGAACTCAGTAGGGACCATTTCAATGGAGTGACAGGGCTGATGTAGAGAGGAGACCCATAAGGTTAGAGTCAAACATCAGACCCCACAGAAATGCTGCAATATGGTAGGGCCTGGCTGTAGAAGAGAATTCTAGGAAAACAGCCCATGTGGAGATTATGATGGCTCAGAAGAGGCCCGACTGTGGGGGCGGACACGGAGGCCCACAGAGAGCCAAGAAAGTGAAGCCCCTTAAATGAGAGCAGCTGGGACACCATCCCCCACAGGCCTACTGAGAATGGGAGGAGGTCCCAGAACGTTTTAGACCTCTTCTACTAGAGAAAAGGGGAAGCACTGAGTGAGGGGGGTCACTGATGGAGGTGAAACTGAACAGACCAGGCCTAGTATGATGGGCCTGGTCCAGATGTCTGCCACTGTGGAAAGGGACATCAATCCTTGGACAAGCCAAGTGGCACATACCTTTCTGCTAACTCCCAGGGCTTGCTTGTTTTGCCTCCAACCTGAGCCAGGATAAAGGATCCGGGGACAAACAGGCTGACCCTGTGTGACAGGGCTTTGGCTCTGCCATGACACAGGATGGCTTGGGCCCAGAGCCGACCTGTTGCTAAATCCAAACTCCTGAGATACCAGTTACCTTGTGCCTGGCCGTAGCCTCTGCTGGCTTTTCAGACCCTGTGCCATGGCCTCAGAGGGTCTTTAGGGATGAAGGGAACAGGCTGAGCCCACTCTTGGCCAGCTCGTTAAAGGGAACAGGGCCCCAGAGGACAGGGAAAAGGTCGCAAAAGCCACTTGTGGCAGATCTCCAAGGAGAAGGGGACTCTTGAGGACTTGGGGTCCTGCTGTCCCTTCCCACAGGCAGGGTCTCTCTTCCACTACTCCCCACATCAAAGGAGGTTGATCTAGCCTAGCAGCGTCCCTTAAAGATAGGGCCACAGAGGGAAGCGATGGTGGAGGCAACCTGGAATCTCATTTGCCTTCTGGGTCTTAGGGCTACTGCTGGGTCCATCCATCCAGACTCCAAGATTCTTTCTAGTTCACCTCTCGTCCTGTGGTTTGCTACCATAACTTGAGAAGACTTAACCAATCGGGGCGGGGGGCGGGGGGGGGGGACTCTTGCTCACAAATATTTTCATACCCTAACTCATTTTGACCTCATAGTAATGTGCAAGAGGTATTATCATCCTCTGAGAGATTAAAGATATTTAACAGATGGTTGGCGTCCTTGAGCAGTGACCATATTTTATCGCCAATGCCTGGCATATAAAAGGGGCTCAAACAGTGTGGAAGGAATGAAGAAATAGACGGACCTGGCCCAGGTCACCTGGCAATGAGGTGCTGCGTTTTCTAGCCCGTCCTCATTCCCTTCCATTCAGGATGCCGGCAGGCGGAGATGGCCGGAGCACCGCGGACTGAGAGGTGGGGCAGGGATGGCTGCTGCGCCAATTCAGAGTACTGAGAAAGGGCCCTGCTTCCCTGGACGCCCTGAGTCGTATTTTAGGGAAAGCGTCGCTTTGAGCTCTCTCCTGTTCATTCTCTCCGCTGGAGGTCCGGGGCTGGAGGGAGCTCTGCGCGAAAAGGGCGAAAGCTGAATTTGCGTCCGGCTGCCGCTCTTCCTGGCTTGCTGCCTGGGCCCAGGACTGAGAAGGGCTGACCTCCGGCCAGGAGAGGCCGGCAGGCCCCGATCGCGCTCAGCCCCGACGGCCGCACAGCGCCCTCTGGTGCCGGGCAGCGGGGTCCCGCGGGCTCGCAGACCCGGGGCGGAATTCGGGGGTGCGAGAGGCGGAGCCTGGCGGGCGTGGGAGTCCGCGAGAAACTCGCGGCCTTCGGCGGCTTCCCGGCCCGGGAAGTAACCCAGGTCGGGCGGCCGCAAACAGGAAGTCGGCCTGTAACAAAGCCTGGGGGGCGGGGAGCCCGGGACCTCCGGGGCTCCCGGTGGCCACAGCAGGTAGACTGACGCGGCCAGCACGCTGCACCTTTCTTCCGCCGCCCCTCCAGCCTCCCAGCCCAAAGGGATCGGGCCGGGCCACGGGGCCACACTGTGAGCCCTGAGTGGGGTGGAGGGTGCGGCCGCCCTCGGAAGGCCGCTAGGACCTCCCAGGCGCATCCTCTCCCCGGGAAGGGACAGTCATAGTACCCTAAGTGAATCACTTCCATCCCCTTCCCGAATGCAGCAGACCACGTGGGATGGAGGGCTGGGTCCGCAGAGACTAGGAGTGCTGCAAGGAGGGGAAAGCCCTGTAGGTCCATCTGGGGTGCCGGAGCATCCATTCTATATGAATCTAGTCTAGTGGTTTAATGTAGCCTGGGATTTGGGGGCGAGGGGGCAGGCTACGAGCCACTGTCTTTTTGTAACCTCTGACCAGTCTGACCGTGGCCCTGAAGCAGCAGAGGGCACTCTGGCTGAGCAAGCAGGATAAAGGCATTCCTTCCTTCCTTCTTCACAGTTCTCCCTGACTCACCTCCCCACAGTGATATCCAGGTGGTTCCCAGCCCCTGGGCCCTGAAATAGCAGTTGTCCTCAGAACTGGAGGTCACTGTAGGGTCAGACTTATCCTGTAGGCAGGGCACTACCTCCAGCAGCTGTTAAGGAACTGCTAAACTCTGGATTCTCTTTCGAAATACACATGCAAATTAAACATGGGCATTTGCTAAACCATGGAGAGTATTAGTGAGTCTAGAGCTATCATATAGCCTTGTACCTGCCAAACATGGGACCTCTCCTGTAGACCTGGACACTTTATCAGAAAAGTCTTGGGTATCTTAACTGTGAGAAGGGGATGGATCCTTAGGTCTGGAAATCCTGGGAGGAGGAGGGCTTCCACTGTGGCCTGTTCACAGCCCAAGTGCCTGGCCCACCCTCTGCAGTGTCGCTGGGGGTGAAGCCTAGCATGAGCTACAAGTTGGAGCTGCCCAAACTGAGACCACACATGGTTCCCCTCTTTCCCCAGAAAACTGGCATGGTGCACTCTCCCAGCTCCCTGTCTAGGGTATCAGAGCCAGTGAGCGGGTTTAGCCAGCCAGCTCCTCTCCAGGGCTCTTCTTTGAGGGGCTGGCAGCCAGCGCAGTCCAGCACAGCCTGGTGGTGTGGACGTGCTGGCCTGCGAGTGTCCTACCTGTCTCCCACATGGGAGCCTCGTCATCTGGCCTGTGTGTCCCAGCCCAGTTTCCCCCGCCCCCCAGGGTCCGGGAGCCGCTTTCCTGTTTCATTTTGGGCAGGAAGAGTGAGGTGGTGTTGTTCTTCCCCCTGCTGCCGGCTCAGGCTGTGGGAACAGTTCCCTGAATGCTTTCCTGTTTGATACCCTGTGTGTGCAAGGAGGGAACAGGGACTGATGAGTGAGGCGTGGAGCCTGTGCGTGCAGGGAGTATGAAGAGCATAGGTCTCTGGCTCCTGGGTCTCTGGTATAGACTCCCAGATCAGGGGCAGGCATGCTGTACGTGTGCTGGGGAGAAAGAGGAAAAGGGGGACAAGCAGCACAACGTATACTTAGACCCCACTGGGAACATCTGGCGGGTCTGTTTTGTCATACTGTG